AAAAGAAAAGAACAATTTTGTACATATTTTTCACTTTCTATCATTTTGTGTTGATAATGACCTTGTGTATAGGTGGAAAGGTTCACTATTGTTTTTGAATAAAACTAAATAAAATGATTGACGAATTAGTATACTTTGCAATTAGTTTATTTTCTTACATCTCGTCGAATAATATAAATAAAGGAAAACTAACTCGAACTGTATTAGATGAAAGAATGATCAAAACTATTAAGGTCGAATAAAATTAGAAGAACACTAGCTCTATGTCTATTAGGTGGAAAACATGACTATTTCTATTCACGATGGAAAAAAATTAAAGGAAAACTAACTCTATCTCTACTAAGATGAAATAAAACTAAATGGGCAATACAATACAATTTGTGAGAAAAGCTTGTTAAGTTCATCAAAGAGAAGAATTGTTGTATACTCGTTTGCCAAACGACTCTGAATTTTTCTAGAATTCTTCTTATTGTTTCACATTGCCTGTGTCTATTTTTATTGATTTTGTCAGTGTATTGTAACTAAGACTGTCGCGATATCAACAGCTGAAAGCTCAATGTTGAAAACAGATGTTGATAAAAGAACTAAGAGTTATGATGATAATTTTTTATGCAGAAAACAATGATAAAAAAATTTAATATATTTGAGAACGTTGACGAATCCATTTGGAGCTAATCAATATTCTTTCTCAATATAACGGTATAATGTTGTTGTAGGTTACGAAACGGACGAGAAGATGTTCTGTATTTTTAAAATTGATTTTTGAATTCACGAGAAAGCATTTGACAATTTAAAGAACGACAGAAAACGCGTTCTTTTCTCCCTAAGAATGACGTTGTATTGTCTGGAACGCATCTATCAGTTTGAAGAATCCATTCTCAAGTATTTCTTGAGAGAAGGTCAAAAAAAGCATTCTCATTTTGATGGAATCCGATTCTGACCGTTCCAAAAATGAACAGTTCAGAAAGCTTTCTCTTCAGATGAAGAACGATTTTGAACTGAGAAAAAACAATCCCATAAAAATGTGGAACGACAAAGAATGCGTTCCTTCAGATGCATAACTCATTCTTGTCGCTCATGAACGCATTCGACAAACTATAGAACGTGTTCTACATGAGAAAGATAACTTTCCATGTTTTGCGGAACGCGTTTACTTCCGTTTTTTTCATGATTATTTTTCACTGGGAAATGGTAATAATAAATCAACTTCAATTTATCATACATTATGTTCATGGTCAGAAATTCCACATCATCCTGGTTTAATTTGTACAATGACACAAATGACAAATAATCCTGTTATTTTAATGATAACACCATCAATAGTACGTTTAACTGTATCTATCAATAGAAGACTTAAATATTCGTTATACAGATCTTGGACCTCAAACGGTATCGTAAATGTTGACATTCAATTTTAAGTCAGAATTGAAAAATATTTAAATTTCACGTTAGAATTCGTGAAAGATTACTATTAGTCTATCAGATATAATACCAAATTAGATCATGTAAACTTTCATGACACACAACCGTTCTACGATTTTCAGAATTTAATTAACTGAAACCTTTGAGGCTGCGGTATTATTTGTGTATTATAAAAAGTATATAATATATGAGAAACGTGATGAGAAAAAAAGGATGACCTGACTGACACATGACCTGTCAATGAACGAATCAGAATGATTCATATAAAGAAAAATGGCATCATCTCTGTTCATTATAGCCTGCTATTTGTGACATGAATATTTCTCTTTCATTGTTCTCTCAGACGGTAATGAAAAAAATAGGTATATATATATGTTAGCGTCCAATCTTGTATTCAGGCCAATCTCAGATTCGCCTAGGCCAATGTCGGATTATAAATTTTTTTATGAAAAAACCTTCATATCTCTATGATGCGTTGCTGAAAATGAATGATTTTTTGAATATTGTCTAATAATAGGGAGGACAAGGTGATGGTGTGGGTGAGGGTGGATTCCATAAAATTAGAAATTGGTTGTTGAAGAATTTAGATCTCACGAAAAAATCACTCTAGTTTTTTCAATACAATTGCAATAGTCTCAATGATGGTTTGGATCCCTCAAATATCATGGTACAAACATTTTTGTCAAAAAACCGTTTATTTTTAGCAACGGATCATAGAGATATGAAGGTTTTTTCGTAAAAAAATTTGTAATCCAACATTGGCCTAGGCGAATCTGAGATTGGCCTGAATCCGAGATTGGACGCTAACATATATATAAATCAACACAATTGAATTGAATGAATTAGGCATGAACATTTCGAACAAGCAACATATCCATATAGTCGATTTGCCCAATGAAATTTTACTTATAATTTTTAACAAATTAAATATGGTTAATGTTCTCTATTCACTTGTCGATGTTAATCAACGATTTGATCAATTAGTACTTGATCCACTTTATATTCGTAATCTTGATATGACTTCTATGACGATGAAATCATATCATGATCGTATCTACTCTATAGACAATCAAGTTCTTTCAAGAATTTGTAAAAATATTTTACCTCGCATTCACCATCAAATAAATGAACTCATTGTTGAACAACATTCAATGGAACTTGTTCTTCATACTATCCATTATCCACACCTTTACTCATTATCACTAATAGATTTTCAAGAAGAAGTACTTCTCAAGTATTTAAGAGGTATAAACTATTTAATTTTCTTTATTTTAATTAAGACAATAGTGAATTAATTAGACATAAGTTAATAATCATTTTTCTTTTTTTGTCTGTGAAATGAAGGTGACACAATTCTTCGCAAACTTCTGATTGAACAAATTACATGTCTTCATATTGAAATCAACGATAAAACAACACCATCACCACTTCCTGAAATTCGTTCGAGTATGTTTATTTTGATTTTATCTTTATGTAAACGATTAATCAAATTAAACTTTACTCCATTCTATCATCGATCAACGTTTTATGCTTTGGATTTATCATCAATCGATTGCATGTCTTCAACTTTGACTGAATTGGAAATTTATGTGAAAACTTTCGATGATTGTCTCTATCTACTTGATGAACGTCTCAATTGTTTATCAACACTGAAAATACATGTGAAAGAAATTGTATATACACCAGAAACTATAGATAACACAGTTAGTATAATTGTCCATTATTGTGTTCGAAAAAAAAAGACAGTCAACTCGATACAGACATACTTTGTTTCATTTTTTTTATAGAAAAAACTTCTCAAATTGAAACACTTCACATTATGTTCATATCCACGTACATTTGTTTATCATAATCGAATTCTCCCATTACTGCAACGAATGATAAATCTGGAAGAATTGATATTATATCTTTCCATAATAAGAACTGACTCAAATTATATTGATGGTATTCAATTAAATAACGATATTCTTATTTATATGCCACAATTGAACAAATTCACTTTCAATATAGACACAAGTATAGTTAAGAAGAATATTGGAATTGCTCTTTCATCGAATGAAGATATTCAGCGTAGTTTCATTGGACGAGGATATGGACAAGTTGGTTCACTTGTTGAAACTTTTCCAGGAGAAAACAAAAGTGGAGGCCACAGCCATTCACTTCCACAAAAGTTCAACAGTAGATGTCACATCTATTCACTTCCATATCAATTCAAAAGTTTTTTTTATTTAAGCAATTCTTTTCAAGATGGCATGTTTGATAATGTTCAATGCTTGATGATGACAGACATACAACCTTTCGAGGATTACTTCTTCAAAATCATCTCGCACAGTTTTCCTGTATTGAAAAAGTTGTATATATATAACAATGAACCGCAGAAAGAGAAGCAACAATCCATGACATTTATCACATTTTCTCATCTTATGTTACTCAATCTTTATTCCGCTCATGCAGATTATGCTGAACAATTTCTCTTTGATAAACACTGTCATTTGCCTTGTTTGCTGAACCTTTATATCGGCTATAATTCACTTGCACTGGTCACAAACAATTTCACCAATGATGCAACACGTGTCACCTGTGGTAAATTGACCTGTCTTCAAATAAAGGAACCGTTTGTTCCTCCAAAAAATTTTCATAAATATTTTCCTTTATTGTAAATATTATTTCTGTTAAAACTTAAATCATGTACTTTGACTGGTTAAGTGAATATGTCTCTTATTGTCCAAGAAACTGATGAAGACTGATAATAAATTGATAGAATTTTGATCGTCTGGTGATTAATTTTCATTCATTTTTCGTTTATTTACCATTATTTTGTTGTCATTTTTTCTATGAAATAAAACATTGATAATAATTGAAAAATAAAAATAAAAATAGAATTTATTTACATAAATTAATAATGTGTGATGCAAAAGTAACGAGACAAATGTTGTCCTATATTTTTTCTTGATCAAAAGGAACTAAAAGAAAAATTTTTTACCAGAAGATAAAGCTTTTTTTCCTCTTTCGGTTTGTACATAACTTATTTTTATCACACGCTTATGAATGAAATGACGCAATAGGTGAGGGAAGCACTCTCACAGCAAGTTTGTATTTTTCATAGAATTCAGAATAACGATACAAAATATCAGCTCCGGTATCGCTTCGATAAACATGTTTTCAAAGGAATATTTTATTATCATCAGATAGGAAAGGCGACTATAAGTTACACAATGAGTTTTGATTACAGAACTGGATATATATAAGTTTGCACAGAAATACTTCCTCTTTCCAATAGTGTATGTATTATCGAATTCTATTGCGTACCCATGTAACCATTTTTAGGTTTTGGGACGCGTTTCTGAGCGTTTAACGCAATAGAACTTAATGCGTTTGTACGCGTCCAAAATGCAACATTTTCGGGTGTTCAAACGCGTCAGGACAAAAGAAACGCATCCAAACTCGTTTGATATATAAGAGCATCACAACGCGTTTACGTATAGGGACGTGTTCACGTTTTTTGTGAAAAAAATTTGAAAAAATAACCATCACTCTGTGTCGGATTCGAACCGACGCATCATAGCTAACTATGATATAACACTTTAATACCGTGAACAACAGAGTGGAATTTTTCCGACGACAGTTCGAACCAAGATTTAAACACACGACCATCGATTACAAGCCGAGCCCAAGTAACTCTGAGCTATATAAAGCTCGAAATTAGTTACATGTTCATAAACCAAATGACTAACAATTTCTGAAGCACTTATAGTTCTAAGAAAAATAATGCTGATTATTATCACTTTGTATATGAATATCAATAGAATTTTTTCATACAATAAAAATAAATGCATTTCTCATATTTACAAACAACAAATAAAAAGAAATAAAAAATTTCATTATCTAAAAGGCGAAGATAAATTAAAGAATAAATTAACACCTCTTTTTGATAAATAAAAATGTTTGTTTTATAAGAAAACAAATAATCTTTATTTCGTTAATAATAGAATATATATTGTTATTTAAAGTTGAGAACGCTGTATGAAAATATATAGAAAAGTTTTATCTATATCTACATATTTGTAACTATGGCATTATAATATTTGTAGTAGTTTTGAGAAAAAACAACATAGAACAAGTTATTCTTTGACTTCGCTTATTTTGTTTGTAAATTAAGTATTCATTTATGTTTTATTATAACTAGAGAAATTACTCACCTCTATTTTTAAAGATAATGAAGATTTTCTTTTTTTATTTATCCTAATCTCATAAAACCTAGTTTCATATGAACTCATTCTTTATTATGAAGAATAAAGGCAGAGTAACATTACCTTTGGAAAAATTAGTTTACCGAGGTTTAGATAAAATCAAATATTTGAAAATGGAAATAACATTCATAGAAATTTTTTATCATACGGAACAAGGTGATGAAATCAACAACAACAGCATTATGATCACAGTACCTCGTTTGCTCATTATTAAATCTTTTTGGAAATGAGGTCGAATAAAGTATATATAATTTTGTTAGCAGTTCAATATTTTCAGTAAATAATGTGCCCGTAAAAGTGAATACGAACGAGACACACATGTCACTTGTATTAATCTTTTTTCTATTTAAAGTACAAAACTATTTAAATTTAAATTTTAAGCTCAAACTAAGTGATTGATTTTTCTTTTTCTTCTTACTATGAATAAAATGTTTAATGATACTGAGGTGCAAATTTTATAAAATCTTTCTAGAAGAATCAATCAGAATTGGAGTAAATGCGTTTAAAGAATTGAGACTTTTGTATACGGTTATATGCATTTGATTTCGTCTGACATGTTTGATTATTATATTGTGTAGAGAATGTAAATATAAGCAAAACTGTTTTCATAATTACTTACACTTCTGCTTCACAGTCTATTTGCTTTTCTGTGTGGATCATATTACTGGGTGCGGCATAAAGATTGCAACATTTAGTATTTTGCAAATATCTCAGATGATATCAAACGTATAATCTTCATTCTTTTTACAAAAGATGCGCCGTGGAAAGCTCTACAAAAACCATAAGAGCAAGTTTCTATTGACTTGTTTTGAAGGTGCCTCCTATATTCAAAATGAATAGGTTCTATGATGGTTGTATGTCCCACTGTATTAAATATTTTCGAAGATTCTTTTTTTGTTTTGCAAATATTTCACCTTGAGAAAACGAAAAGGTTTTGGCTTTTTTTTCAGAAGCTACGCTGTCAATAGCTCTATAACAGTTATAGGCATAAGTTCATATTGACTTGCTTTGATGACTTTTCTAGTTCGTTAAAATTAAAGACCTACGTGATGTGGTTACCGAGCTTTCAAAAATGTTTACGATATTTTTTATATGATATGAATCCTAACTTAAGCAAATGTTAGAATCTTGATTTTCTTTTTAAAATATGCACCTTAAACAGCTCTACAAAAACTGTAAAATAAAATCCCTATTGACATTCTATAATCTTGTCTTCGATACTCAAAATGAGCAGGTTACATGATTGTACTACATCTCACCGTATTTAGTATAAGAAAAATATTTGGAAGACATTTTTACTTTTAGAATATCTTGGATTGGGAAAATAAGAGTGTCATGATTTTTTTTCTCAAAGATGCACCGTTGAAAGCCCTACAAAAACTATATGAACAAGTTCGTATTGTAAAACAAAAAAGAATCTTCTAAATATTTAATAGAGTGGAACATAGAACCATAATAGAACCTATTCATTTTGAATATAGGAGGCACCTTCAGAACAAATCAATAGAAATTCGTTCTTATGGTTTTTGTACAGCTTTCCACGGCACATTTTGTGGAACTCACATATATTTTCGAAGAAAATAGTGAGTGTAAGTTTTAAGTTCAAGTTTTGGCGGCTCCCCCTCCCCTTTACAGACACTTAGCAACAGAGAAAGAGAACATTACAGATATACCCCCCCCCCTCCCCCTCCCCATTACAGACCTTAGCAACAAGGATTAAATAATGGATAAATAAATAAATAAATATATACATATATAATAGTTTCATTTACCATCTAATTCAATACTTATAATAAATAGAAAACAAATATAGAATTAAGACAAAAAAAATTGTGAAAAACGAAAAATACTGAACGAATAGCAACAATAAAACGAAACATAAGGGCGTCTGTCAGAAAATTAAAAAATTTAGAAATTCTTGATTTTATACGTTCTATATTTCATGTTAGTATAATGAAGCTGAAGAACATACGTGAGTTCCACATTTCAGCCCCGATGGGGCTGCGCTGACAAGCTTTTTTGTAAAAAGAATGAAGATTATATGTTTGATATCATCTGAGTTATATGCAAAATACTAAATGTTGCAATCTTTATGCCACACCCGATAGAAGATGTATCATAGAAGTTTTCTTAACAGTTTGTTTTTCTCTACAGGAACTCAACAGAATTTGAACTACTAGCGAAACTTTTCTAAAGTAAAGAACATGTTCGAAGACGAGTAGTGAAGATTTCGTATGTAAACATTCAATAGACACTGATGAGAAAAAAAGATTAGTTAAAAATTACACCTCTACAATTTCTTTTTCTAAAACTTCTAAAAAGATGTATTTGAAATTCAAATACTTCTTTGCATGTTCTGAGACTATTCCTTTGTATCAGTGATATCACAAAGTCAGTGATCAACAGATTTTTTTGAGTTGTACTAAACTTACGATGGAATAATATATTGATAGTGAAAGTGATGCCGCGGTTCAATTCCTTAACCAGCTATTGTCACTTGTCTACATTGATTTTCACATTGGAAATAATCCAGATTTTAAACACTTGACACACTATAAGGAAGTAGATTTATTCGAAAATATCAGTTTGCTACAAAAAAGAACAAGTTTATATTGAAGAAATAAATCCATAAATGTTTAGCAGTCTTGTTATGATTTTCCATATGTTGTTTAGTTCACAGATGATGGATCCATGGCTCTTTGCTTAGCTAATTCATTAGTAGCTCGTCATAGTTTCGAACCTTATGATCAATTGGTTCGCTATAAATGGTGGTTTAGACATGGTTATATGTCATCGACAGGAAACTGTTTTGATATTGGTGATGCTACTAGAAAAGCACTGTGTGAGTTTGAAAAGACACAAAAAGCCTTCGCACACGAGCACGGTCTTCCATTAGAAGAAATCGATTTTCTATCAGATAAGAAGCTTCTCGACAATTTTCCTATCTATTGCAGTCCAGATGGAGCAGCTGGTAATCGTTCACTTATGCGTTAGCACCTGTTTCTCTATTTTTCTATCGAAAACCAGAAGTTGCCGTTGAATTCTCTGGAATTAGTGGTCGAATTACTCACGGAGATAAGAAAGCCTTAGATGGATGTCGCTATAATGGAGCTCTCATTGTAGCTGCTATGCGCGATTACACATAAGAAAAAACTGCTCAGCGAAGGATTTTATTTATCCGAAATTAAGAAATGGTTCAAAAACGATCCTTTACATTCAGAAATTGAAAATATTGCTAAAGGATCATTTAAGAAAGAAAAAGGATATGATGATGGAATGCGAGGTAAAGGTTACATTGTTTATTTTCTTGAAGCGG